GGGCTCAGATATAGCAACGATTGTCAGTGTTGGCGCAGGACCAGGCAGTGTTTCGTTCTGTTGTGCGTAGGGTCACTATGAGTCAGTACCTACTGGATGGCACCTAGTAACAACAACAATACGTCTGTGAGCCTGACGTTTCTCACTCCTGCTGTACAGGGTTCACTGTAAGTTGGAACTGACTTCACAGCTAATCACCACCACCACCACCACCACAGGCATTACAGGTAACTGGGGAATAACACTTGAATCCTTATCAGGTTTTCAAGTAATGTTTTGGTGAGAATTTCTCAATTTCTTGAAAATTTAAAAATAGTATAAAATGGTGCTAGTTACTCAGAGCTGCTGTAATACAAATACCACAGGAGAGACATTTATTTTCTCATAGTCTAAACCAGGGTCTCAGCCACGTAGACTCTTCCCTTGTTGGCAGCCCTGGGTGTTTCTGAGATACCCTCCCCAATGAGTATTGTGTCAATGTCCAATCTGCTCTCGTTATAGCTCAGAAGTGATAAGACCTCATTAGGATAAGAAAGAAAACCCCATTTCCAAATAGGGTAACATCCATAAGTATTGGGGTTAGGATTCCAATACATATTTTGGGGGAACGCCATTCAGCTCAAAGTAAACAGATTCTTAAGCTATTATATTTCACACAGACCAAATATGTATCTTAACGGGCTTTAAAAAACTTGTGGAAAAATTGAATTATCTTTTAATTCACTTTTTGAAGCCCCCTCATATGTGTTGGTATGTGTACGTAGATATGTGTGTGTATACACATAGATATGTGTGTAGTTTTTGTTGCTTAGTACCCTTGAGTTGGTTTTGCCCCATAGTGACCCTGTATAGGGTTTTTGAGGAGTCACTGGTGAGTTTGAACTGTTGACCTTGTGGTTCAAACCAACCTTGAGGTCCAGTGCTTTATTCCACAGGATATATATTTGGTTGGCTGAGTCAATTTCGACTCAAGACCCTGTACAGGGTTTTTCAGGCTGTAACTCTTTACAGGAGCAGAAAGCCTCATCTTTCTCCCGTGGAACAGCTGGTAGTTTCGAACTGCTGACTTTGCGGTAAGCAGTCCAATTCATAGCCACTATGCTACCAGAGCTCCTTGGATGTATATGTATATACATATACAAAGAATGTCAAAGGCCCTGCTGTTTCAGAAGAGTAACTTCCTTCAGTCTTTAGTTCTGTGACTTTAAATAGGGCAGCCCTCATCTGGCTGTACCCTCTGAAATGGAGGGAGCCTCTCCCTAAGTGAATTTTGCAGAAAATGGCAGCTTACTCTTTAAGCACTAATGCTTACATATTAACCAACTCTGATGGAATGCCGTCTGAGCTGTGTTCTGCAGAGTCTGGCTGTTTTAAACAATCGGTGTGGCACATAATTTAACTTTTAATGATGATTCCAATTCACTATTATGAACATCTGCCACAAAAGAGCATATAATCCCATTCTCCTGGAGCCTTTTAGTTGCTTTGCATCTTCCCTTGATGTCAGATTGTCAGCTGTCACTTCTCATTGTAGTGGCTGCCTGGGCCTCTCGCAGCTCTGCCAGCCTGTTTCTGTTTTTTTCTCCCCGCTCAGTCTGCAGTGAATTGGAAACCAGACAACTAAGCTTTTAAAGATGTGTATATTAAATAAGTGTCAACAACGTTTTGAGAAAAGATATAAGGAGACTGGAGTACAAGAGCTTTACTTGAAGAGCTTTGACAAAAGGATTTGAAATGATACCTGATACGGTTGTTGTTAAGTGCTGTTGAATCGGTTCTGACTCATAGCGACCCTGTATAGAGTTTCCGAGGAGCAGCTAGTGAGTTTGAACCACTGACCTTGAGGTCGAGCGCTTATCCTATGGCACCATAACAGGATATGGTACAACAGAGAAATTGTGGACACACATCCACTCTCGGAAGATTACATGTGTACTGTGTGTGTCTCGAGGTGCAGTATCATAGGTTTCCACAGGTGTGTCTGCATATTCAAGGTAAAGCTTCCCAAATATGTGGTCCTTATACTGTGGATCAGATCTTCTCCAAATATAGGGCTTTCCCTTGGTTAGCTTATGAGATCGTACCAGTATAGGGTGAATCTTAAATCTGGTCACATCTAAGTTATAAAACAAAACAAAATACATACACATTATTGCAGGAGCTGGTGGAACAAGATCTTCTTTAAACCCAGTTCATCTAGAGCATTTCAAGTATACACATGGGGGGATTGTTTATATATATACCAAGACATCAAATAATTCCTGAGACTACTGACAAGGGAAGAATGGACACAGCAGAGACCCAAGTTTGGACGGTTAGCCTCCAAAACTGTGAGAATCCATTACTGTTCGTTCAAGCCAACCCACTTGAGGGACTTCAGGTACAGCAGAACTAAGAAACTAACATACCCTCTCCCCCTGATGGCCTGTCCAGGAGAAAATTTCACAAGCATTTCTAGGGGGTTCAAACCCAACACAAGCAACAAGAGGTAAGAATAGAATAAAAGTAAAGAGAGAGAGAAAACAACACTAATATGCTAAAGAGAAAGCAGAAAAATAGAAGGGAGTATGAATAGGGACAGTGAAAGGGAAAATACAAGTCAGGGCAAAATAAAGGACATTTCGTAAAATTAGAACCTTATTGCTTTCTTACTGGGCTTTCTTACTTGGTTGTTATGAAATCATTTTCCACATTATCACTGTGGGTAGAAGGCTGAGATATGCAACTTTCTATCATTAAAGCACTATGGTTGTTTCATATTGTTCTTCAAATACAATGATAAAATTAACTGTACCAAGAAATCCTAATATCTTCATGTTCCCTTCCAAAGAGTGACATTTACCTGTAGACAATTCCTTTGGAATGAAGGAACTGCAGACCAAGAACAATTTCAGCAGCATAAAACCTGAAGGAAGGAGAATCAAGGTTCAAAATGAATATGCATTCACAGGAGAAAATAAAATCCCCAAACCCAGTTTGCTAATTTAATGTTGCGAGTACTTTGTGGAGGTGCTCTGTTAAATGGTTTACACAGATTATTTAATTTTAGAGGAAGATGCTATCCATTTTACACATGAGAAAGCTGGGAGGGGACTACAGGAAGACATTGAGTTTCTGTGAAGGGGGACAGAAAAATTGAGGCCTAGTTAATGGTGATGATTGAATAACACTATGAACATAATTAATGTCATTGAACTGTACATGTGAAGATTGCAGAAATGGTCAAACTTCTGTTACCTCCATAGTTACTACCACCATCCCCAAAAAAAGGTAGAAAAAGAAGAAAAGAAAACTGAGGTTCAGATATGTCTAATCCTTCTGCTGAATTGTAAATGACAGTGCGCTGTCATTTTTTTATATTAAAATGCACACATTCAAAATCAAATCCAATAGTTTTGTGTGATGTATACACAGAGGGGATATTTTTCCCCCTTGATATTATGTTTGGTTTGGAGCCTAGAGACCTGTATACAAGGCCAGTCCAAATAAAACAAAAATAAGTTTGTTTATTTTTATGCAGATACAATCTAGTTTGTACAAGAAAATGCAGCTTTCCAGGTGGAGGAAAGGATATTTATTATAAGATGGAGAGTGATAAGTTCCTCTTCATTTTCAATGATGACTTAAAAGGAAATTATACTATCATGAGTGGGATTAAGGTTAGTGATAAGGGTGGACTTTCTGAAAGTGATTATTTGCTGGATCTCACAGAAGAATACATATAAAAAAAATCTCCCTGGAAAGCATTTAGGGCACAACAGAGAACATGTTTCTAAGTTGGCTTCATTGCCGTACTGAACATAGGCGAGGACAGTGGGATGAGTCCTTCCTAATGAGACAAATGCTTACTGATTTCTCTGCTGCAGAAATCTGATAAAAGGATCTCTGGGTTTCCAGAGGCAATGAGAACAACAGAGTGCTACACAGTAAGTTTTACACAACAGCAACTTCAGTCAGGGATCTTTGCAGGAGACGGTAGAACAAGTCTTTAAACCCAGTTCAGCTAAAGCGCTCCAAGTGGCATTCAGAGATGAGAGAAAGATTACTGTTTATGAAGCAAAGAAAGCCAATCTGTACCCACCCTATTAAAGCAAGCGTTTCATTTGCTTGAATTTCATGGTAGTTTTACTACTCTGCCTTCAGGATCCACAGGGGAGGAACGTAAGGGGATGGGGGTGAGACACACAGTGGTAGGCAGAGGGAGCAGCAGGCAGGCTCTGTGGGGCTGTGCTGCAGACCCAAACAGCGGGCTCAATCTCACATGCATCTATGATTGCTTGATGCCAAAGAAAGTGAAGCTTTGTTTTTAAATACAGTAAATGTCTCTTCCAGTTCCTAAGTCTCAAGCCGTTTGAGCTAATTACTTTATGCCTTCACATTGAGCTTCCAACCAAAGACCTCCGCTAAAAAAAAGTCATCCCTGGTGATCACCTTTACTATCTGTGTTCTTTTCAAAGGGCAAATCTTTGCTTCTGTGCTCACATTACTTAGAATTTTGAGTGGCTGCAATTCTGGTCAATTGGGGTGGTTTTCTTAAGATACTAAATGGCTAGTTTCAAAGAGATGAAACAAAATTGATACAACTTTAAGTTTCACAAACTCAGAAAACTGTTGCCTTGCTTGGTATAATTCCAGGTGTTTTCCTTGCTCTGGAATTTAGGCAAGCTGAGTGGAGAAGCAAGAAAAAATACCAAATAGGAACAATACTCTGTAAGTGACAAAATCGATGGAAAAATCCCAACCCTTATTTAAAGGGCTCTTACGTTGCTCTGCAAAGATCAAACTTGTGGCAGATTTGGATGTGGTACATTAAGTCTCCTCCGTTGAGATACTCCATCACAAAAAAGAGGTTTTCCTAGGAAAAAACAAAACAATCACAAGTTTTAGTTTCTTAAAAAAGGATTACTTTTTAAACAGGTCAGTTAATTTTAGAGACACTGATTCGGTATTTTATTAAAATTCTTCTGCATTATTTTAATCATTGCAGAGGAAACTTAGGAAGAAAGAATACATGATTTTTCTAAACTGATATGGTAAGTAAGTAGCTTAACATATGCAAATATGCCAAAAATCCTAGTGCCATTGAGTTGATTGTGACTCACAGAAGTCCTGTATAGATTGCTGAGACCATTCATCTTTACAAGAGCAGAAAGCCTCATCTTTCTCCTTTGGAGAGTCTGATTGGTTTGAACTGCTGACCATGCAGTTAGTGGTCCAGTGTTTATTTAAGGTCTTCCAAAACCTTGTGTCAGATCCATTTAAGTTAGGTAACTATCATATAAATTGTGGAATTATATGATCATTTGATTTACCAATGAGCAAACTTCTGTATAGAATCTTTTAAGACAGTGAATTTAATATTGTTATTATTAAGTCAGTTCCAACCCATAGCAACCCTGTATTGGGTTTCCAAGGAACATCTGGTGAGCTTGAACCACCGACCTTGCAGTTCAAATGGCTTTGCAGTCTGGTGCTTAACCCACAGTGCCACACCAGGACTCCACATATAACGTTGTTGTTATGTGCCGTGGAGTTGGTTCCAACTCATAGCGACCCTGCACAGGGTTTCTGAGACTGTAAATCTTTACAGGAGCAGAAAGCCTCATCTTTCTCCCACAGAACAGCTGGTAGTTTTGAACTGCTGACCATGAGGTTCACAGCCCAATTCATAACCACAAAATGGAAAGAACCTAACTTTCAAACAAGGAAGCAAAGTTTGCCAAAAGCACACCTTATTGGTGGCACTGCTACAAATGTAAGGCAGTCAGGGCTCTCTCTCAATCTCTCTCTTTTTTTTTTTTTGAGGGGTTGGGGAATTTATACAACAAGACATAGAACTGTTCAACAATTTAAAAATGTGTCAACATGCTGGCTATTTCTGATTATATTGTTTCACCGCTATTAGCTTACACACTCTGTCCCTTAAAATTCTCATTTATGCTTTAGAGTTATTGTGACCATTTCAATCTCATATCGATAAATTCTTCAACAGTGTGTAATGCTCAAGGTAGACATCCAATTCTACCTTAGAACCACGTATAAACAGGCTCCCACTGAGCCTCTACTAATAGTGATGCAAATATTTGGGAGCAGTCAATGGTGATGACCGAACAGAATGATGGATACTATTACTGTCACTGAACGGGGTTGTGAAGATTATAGAAATAGCAAATGTTCTGTACCTATATACTTACCACAATTAAAAACAAAAAATCCAACTTTATTAGTGGTTTCCAGGGGAAGTTGGGAGGAGAGAAGGGGGAGAGGCATTGTGTTTGTTTACAGTGGTGGACAATCTGGCAGCAGATATTGGTGATGACCGTATATGATTATGTAATCATATATGTGAAAAAAGTTGAATGTTGTGTTATGTGTATTTTCATAACAACAACAAAAAGTAAACTTTAAGAAAAGTCTCATCAAATTACTTAGCTGATCTCTAGCATTCTTTGACCCCAAGAAAGATGGAAATCTACTGGAACTCTGAGTAACAGTGGTTGGAAGGTTTGTATGCTTCTTGTTGTCATTAAGTGCCATCGAGTCGATTTCGACTCATAGTGACCCTGTATAGGGTTTCTGCGGAGTGGCTGGTGAGCTTGAACCTCTGACCTTGCAGTTCAAATGAACCTTGCAATCTAGCTCATTAACCTACAGTGCCACACCAGGACTCCATTTGTTTGCTACAACCCAGCATATGGGGCAGTCAACAGCAAGAGAACATCAGATGTGCCTGCAGGACCACAGGGCAGTGTTGGGCACCTGGTGGGTGCTGATCACGTACTTACTGGCTGACAGTGTGTGGAAGGGTAAAGGGAGTACACGAGGAGATCTGGAAGAACATGTGTTCCTTCATTCAATATTCATAAAATAGTTATTGAGTCTCTAATGTCATTTGGCTGCTACCCAGTGACCCAGCAGGAGGAAGACCTGGCAATCTATTCCTGTAAAATCCTCTGGGGGCCATTCTACTCTGTCACATAGGGTCACTATGTGGAGACATCAACTTAGCATCACCTCATAACACCATAGTCTAAGGCAGGTGTGAGTACAAGTACAGATGAATGAGACACAGTACCTGCCTTCAGGGAGCTTACAATCAAGTATAATGAAATTTCTCTCCAGTTTAGAGAGCAATGTTCGGCGGCAAACTGCAGTGAATGAATGAAGGACATCATATATGTTATTATAAGAGCTGAAAACAGACAAAGGCAAGGCTGGGTGGTCTCCAGTTCCAAGGAGCCTAAGCTCCTTCTCTTAGTTCCAGAGTTGCTATCACAGAAGATTCCACAAGTGGGTGGCTTTAACAAACAGAAATTTATTTTCTCACAGTTTGTTATTGTTAAGTGCCATCAAGTTGGTTCCGACTCATAGTGACCCTCAATAGGGTTTCAGCTGAGGAGCAGTTGGTAAGTTTGAACTGCAGACCTTATAATTCAAATGACCTTGCAGTCCAGTGCTTATCCTACAGCGCTACACCAGGATGCTAGAAATCAGAATTCAGATTGCTAGCTCTAGGAGAAAAGGAGGCCTGGTGTCTCAGTGGGTTGAGTGTTGGGCTGCTAACCAAAAGGTCACCAGTTCAAACCCACCAGCAACAGAATGATGAGGCAGTCTACTGAAAAGATTTACAGCCTCAGAAACTCTATGTTGTTGTTGTTGTTGTTCAGTGCTGTTGAGTCAGTTCCAACTCATAGCAATCTTGTGTAGGGTTTCTAAGGTGTACACTGTATAACAGTTTTTTTCTGTCCTAGAAGCACTGGACTATGAATCACAAGGTTGGCAGTTCAAATCCACCAGCTGCTCCTTGGAAACCCTATACAGGGTCACTATGAGTTGGAACTGAATGACCAGCACTCAACAACAGCACAGGGTCGCTATGAATAGGAATAACCTTTTTGGCAGTGAGGTGGGCTCTATGGAAAGGCTTTCTCTCACTGTGGTCCTGGGGGATGGTCTTTGTCTCTTATTCTTTGGCTTCTTGGTGATCTCCCTGTAGTGTGGCAACTTGTTGTTAAGTGCCTTCGAGTAGGTTCCGACTCATAGCAACCCTGTATAGAGTTTCTGAGGAGTGGCTTGAACCACTGACCTTGCAGATCAAACCGATTTTGCAGTCCAACGCATTAACCCACAGCACCATACCATCATTCCGTAGTTCCTCATCTATATTTCCTTTCATACCGCAAAGAGTCTGACTCAAGACACACCCTACACAGATACTGCATCATTTACATAACAAAGAAAACTCATCCCCAGATGGGACTAGAACCAGGCACAAGAGCTAGGATTTACAACACATGTTTTTTGGGGGACACAATATTCAATCTATAATACTCCTCCTACTATGTGAGAGACAGTATTTCTTGAGCAAATATATTTGTAACCGTTTCAGAACACTGATTTTCAAAGTGTTTTTATGAGTCACAGAATCAGTAATCCATAAAGTGTGTGAGATGTTTAGCATGTCTGTGCATGAATTTGCACTTGCAAACCTCACCTGGCTGATTTTTTTTAAACAGAATTAATCTTGAAGTTTCGATGTGAGATCAACCGAGTCTGTGGGGCACACAAGGTCATGGTAGAAAAACAGTGTTGTGGTCGAACAGGGATATAAACTGCCTGCTATTTGCATCAAGTTCAGTTCTTCATAGAACAACATTTGAAACCAAGTACACTTGGCAATTATTTCAATAAGCTAACTGCTGTATTGCTTTTTCCAAAATTAACTTCAGACGGAACTTACAGACTCCATGTGTCTATAAACGGAGCCTACCTTTTTCTCTTTTGTACAAACTAAAATTCTCTACTACATGAGCCATAATCTAGCATTAATATTTCAAGCATAATTTGAGAAGCATCTGTTGCATTAATTACACACATCTACTTACTTTCTCACTGGCCCAGGATCAGGCAATGTTTCATTTTGCTGTGCATAAGGTCGCTATGGGTCGGTACCGACTTGATGGCACCTAACAACAACTTTCTCACTGGCGTCCTTGTGTGGCGCTGTGGGTTAATGCACCAGACTGCAAAGCCATTTGAACTGCAAGGTCGGTGGTTCAAGCTCACCAGCTGCTTTGTGGAAACCCTATACAGGGTTCCTATGGGTCGGAACCAACTAGACAGCACTTAATAGCAACAACAACAATTTTCTCATCAATCATCTTCTCATGAGCACCATCGAACAGCTTCTAACCTTTACCTTGTTATTCAAAAATTGAATGGCTTTGTCCAGGCACAGTGGTGGAATCTTCATGTAAGCTCTCAAAAGAACTAAAGATATAAACACTTAAAGTTGTTTATAACAGCGTCCAGATAAAAGGTTTATTTTCAGTGGGAGGGTGTTGACAAATACCGATAAAGCTTGAAATCTCAAAATGTACAAATTGTCAGCTTTAACTTGGAGAAAATGGGGAAAGGAAATATTGGAGGCCAAACTTCAACCTTACCTTTCTTCATACCTAAATTAGATTCTGCCCCTAGTGGCCTGTTAGGGAACTGAATTTGTCGTTTGAACTGCAACCTCAGTGGTTCAAGCTCACCTTATACAGGGTCACTATGGGTCAGAATCGACTCAACGGCACTTAACAACAATACCAACAAATTAGATTATACCCCTAGTGGCCAGTTAGGGAACTGAGTTTGTGCCTTTAAAGTTGTATGCTGGAGAGTGGGTTCTGACTCCTAGTGAGCCTAAAAAGAATTTCCGAAGCTTTAAATGTTTGTGGGAGCAGATAGCTTCATCTTTCTCCCATGGAGTCCCAGCAATGTTTGCCAGCATTAGGAGAATTAGAACACTACATGACCATGTTATTATCATGTTGGCATTAAGTGCTGTTGCGTCGATTCCCACTCAGA